ATTACTGTTGTTCGAACACTGCAAATTCTTTTCATCTCAGGGATTTTGCCTTCACTGTTCCTTTTGCTTGAAACGCTGATCCCTAGACCTTCACATGATTACCTCCATCTCATCATTCTCTTCTCAGCTCTTATATCAACTACTTAGAAAGGCCTACATTCTTAAAGCAGCTTGCACCCTTACCAAGTCACTCTCTATTTGCTTCTTTTGTCTCCTTCGAAGCGCTTACCAGCATCAGAAGTTATTTTCTAACATGTTTGTAATTTCTTCCTCTTAGTAAAATAATAGTTCCTTGATGAGGGGATTCCATCTATACAACACCAATGTGCTGTCTACATTTTCATTCCACTTTCTCAACTCATAATCATCAGTTTTAACCCTTGGTCCTGCACTTCTCTCTTGCTGTTAAAAGTAAAGAAGACTTTGGTTTTGGGGGATTTGTGCTGACTTCATTTTTTTAAGCAGTCCCAACATAAATATGACACGAGCATGAGAAGCTTTGTTACTCAACACCAATGGACTTGATGAAGAGTGGGACAAGAATGGGGCAAATTACCTACAGATCTGATTACTCACTCAATCTTTGAAATATATAACTTCTTTTAGAATATCAGGATGTTTCAGAATTCTGGATAAGTTTTATATTCTTATTTCTCTGTGCGTGTGGGATTATACATTGTTTTTATATGTCTTAATGCTTCACAATTCAAGAAGCAAATTTGAATGAACTCCTTTTGCTTCTCTGCGCAGTACTGCCTTTAGACCCTGAGCAGTGGGCCTTGCCCTGGGCCCCGTGGTTCAGAGCAATGGTTCTCAACCAGGGGTGGCCCTGCCCCAAGGGAGCATTTGGATGTCTGTAGACATTTTTGATTGTTGGTCCAGGAGTGGTCGGGTGATACCAACGTCTAGTGGGTAGAAGCCAGGGATGATGCCAAACATCCAATAGGGCTCAGGACAGCCGCACATAGCAAATAATTATCTGGTATAAAATTTCAATAATGCCAAGGGTGAGAAACGCTGATTTAGAGGAACCACTCAGGCCCTCCTTCTCCAGCCAGGCTTCACCCCATGGGGCAAGAATTCTGTCAGCCAAGGAGTTATGCTCACCTAGAGCCTGGCTTCTGTTCTAGAGCAATGTTTTCAAAGTGTGATCCCAGATCACCAGCAAATGAGCACCTGAGATCTTATTAGGAAGACAACTTTTTGGGTTTCATCTCAGACTTACTGAATCGGAAAATCTGGGCAAGGGACCAATAATCTTAGTTGTAATAGGTCCTCCACGTAATTCTGATGAATACTAAAGTTTGAAATCCACTGTTCCTAGGAGACCAAGAATTCTATATTTGCACCTAAAAAAATATTCGTCAAGATAGGAAAATAGAATACATTTTTACTGCTTGTTAACTTGATTTATAACATCTAAATACAGACATGTGATACGTGGGTTTCCATTTGTACTCTTGCTCTAGGCCCCCTGAATGTTTGAGATGGGTCTATATCTGTGTCCTAGTTTTCTCAGGCTGTCAAATGAGGGCATTGGATTAGATCATTGCTTAAATTTCTTTTTCTGCCTATGATTTCGTGGCTACCATAGGAGAATGATAGGGATCTGACTACATTCTCTGCACGGACTCTCTTAGGAGACGGTGACTTTGAAGCTTAGTCACTGGAGAAATGTTTTTTGCTCTCTGCACAACAGGATTTCTTTAATTTGTCTCTTGATAATACAGAAAAAGTTGTTAAGTCAAATGCCTTACTAATTGTCAAACAGAATTTGAGCAGCTATTAATTCTAGCTATTAATGGCATGATTTATGTTTATACACAGTATTAAAAATTAAAAAGTACAGACACATATTCTTGATAACTATGTAAATTGGCATTACTCTTTGAAGGGGAAATTCATACTATTAATCAAAAATTTAAATTTTGATTCAACAATTTTATTTCTAGGACTTTATTCTAAAATGATACTTCTGTATGTAGGCAAAGGTGAATGGTTAAGGGTGTTAACTGCTGCTTTTCTGTTAGTATATCCAAAAATTGGAAACAACCTATATGTTCATTGAGAGTGGATTGGTTAAATAATGTATGCACATCCATATAACGGAATACTATGCAGCTGTAGAAGAACATGGCATATGCTATTGATGAAGGATGGCCACAAAATATTCAAAGTGTTGGCGTGGTAATCTGACATCAGACCTCTGGAATTCAGATACCAGCTCTGCCATCTACTTGCTGTGTGACTTCGGGCAAGTTACTTATTCTCTCTTTGCCTCAATTTTTTCATCTCCAAAATAGGGAATAATAATAAGGCATATTTTACAAAGTTGTTGAAAGAATTAAATAAGATAAAATGAATTAATCTTTCAGTGCTTGGCATATATAAAGTAGTTTAAAATGTTATTATGCAAAGACTTCAAAGATAAATCATTAAAAACCTCATCAACACTAAACAGAATAATGTGTATAGATTTTAAAAAAGTATATATATATAAATTATTGAAATAGCTTGCCAAAGATACTCAAATGCTATTTCCAGTGGTCGTTTCTATACGTGAGATGGGAGGAATATTTTTTATTGCAATGTTTTTTATTTTTTCCATGCATAAATATTATTTTTATAATTTTAAAATTATTTAAAGAAAAAACCAAGAAAAATTAAAATCACACAGATGCTCAGATTCTGTATGATGGCAGAAGTAGAACCGTATGGATTCACTATTTTTTAATGAGCCATAGAATGACATTATTAGTGCTGAAAGATTTACTTTTGTACACAAGAAGGATGCTAGTGTTGAAAGATTTCACAGAAAACTATTTTTTATAATGATTCTCCCCTCTTCTTAATGATGAATTTCTTTGATTTCCACTTGATGTAACGAAGAGATTCAGGCTAAATTGCCATTCTTGTTGGAGGCTAAGGAATGAAATGTTAAAACGTCCAATATGCAATGCTCAGTAGAACCTTTCCTTGGGGTAACCGAAGGGGCCTTGTAAGGTGAAAGACTGAGTGTCCTTTGCAATATTTTTTCTATCCAGCTTCAGTGTAAATCTTATGCCGAATTGTCCTTCTTATGCAAGTCCGTTGTGGCCCTATGAATACCTGCCTACAGAATGACTTGATTAAACAAATCTGAAGCTGATCTTCCTTTGGCTTTTTGCCAATAAAGTGCCTGGATTTAGGAGGCTACAGTTCTATTGCAGAAAGGAATTCTCAGGATGGAGATATCAAGAGAAACACGATGTGTGTAACATATGGCCTCTGACTTTTATACTCTCCATCTTACCATGCCACCACATACAGAACTTCTGGGATTGATAGGAAGCCAGACTCTCATTTTGGTTGAGGAAAAGAAAAATTCTCATTTTGCAGTAGGTTTTGTGAAGTCTTCAATAATCTAACAGTTCATTCAAGTTTCTAAATACATGTAAATGTTGTACAACTCTTTTAAAAGTGTGGTCAAGGTTTATGCCATTTGTTTCAAAATCGATTGATTAGAATTCATTATTAAGAATTGTTTTGTTTTTAATCTTCGGCTCTTATTCTAGTAACAAGTGTTCTTCTTAGGGCTTTTTTTTTCCTTTTTAAAAGTAATAAGATTTGGGAAGTTTTGTTTCTTTTATTTTTTATTTGTAATTACGGTAGTTTTTAAATAATTAATAATTAGATAAAGTTATAATTTTTTCAATGTTGCTGAATCTAACTTTTTTTCCTTCCTGTGCACCCCTCCTTTTTTTTTTGTAAAAATGGCACCCCATTATCAATAATGAAAGTCACTAAAGCATACAGACCTGATGCTACCACAACTTCAAGATTTCCAGGTTCATTTGAGCCCTTAATGCTGCTTGTCATTCTTCTAAGTTATCTTTCTCCAAACACTTCCACCAGGGATCGGTTCCATATACATATAACTTTTCTCTTCATTATGCACCCCTGCCACTCCCCCAACTTTCATCTGAGCAGCTCACTTCCTACTTGAAAAAAAAAGTGCACACTATTTAATCTAAATTCTCTCAATGAATTCTCCTGAATCCTCTCCCCCTCTCCAATTCCAACAAAGTGCCTACTTCCTTCTCTCTTACTTCCTATCAGGTTCAGAAGGAGCCTTCCTTCTTCCTGTCTAAAACCAATTCCTCCACTTCTTCTACTACCCTTTTTAGCATAGCTAAAAGTCCAAAAGGTTTTCTTCTTCAAATGTTGGTTGCTTAAATAAACTATTTCATAAAGGGTTGGACGTTTTACATAAAAACCTAACTAGTTTTGAAAATAAGGTGTTAAATCTTGGATACAATATAACCCTATTTATTTGAATGATTGAATGAGACGGTCACAGGAAAGTATTAGTGGAAGTTGAGTGAAAATATAGGTAAAGAGCAAAATAATGTTGTCTAACTTCCGCTTCTTTCCAGAATACTTCCTAATTTTCAGTGCATAAAAATTTTTCAGTACATTGAAAAAATTTCACTTATAATTTTATTCTATCTAAAAAGACACTAAATGTCCATCGATTCTCTTTACTTTTTAGTTATTTTACTTTAAGATATTTCTATATTGCAGAATTACATTGAGTGAAGAAAAAAAAAAAAGAGAAAAGAAAAACCAGCCAGATCAATTTTATTTTACTTTTGACATCTGTCTAAAGTTGCTCTTGTTTTTTTAGATATTGGAATTTTTACAACATATACATTAGAATTCTAACACCTCACAAAGTTCAAATACATGTCAGAAGGGGGAATGTCTAAAACATCTGTAATAATTTGGATCTCTTTTGCTTCAGTATATTTTTATATACTGAAGCAACTTCCCCTCTTGCCAATATAACTTCCCCTCTTGCCAATCACATTTCACACTAAGTTTCAAATACAAATCTCCCTCTTGAAATATTGATTTATAATGTAATGCATTTTTTGGAAAGAGAATGAATGCTAAATAATATAACCTGATCAAAGCTCATTGTATTTTGACTGTTTAACTGGTATTTATCCTTTTATCAGGGAACCATCTGTGACAGAATTAATACAGGAACAGAAACAAGACCAACAGTGGCTGATACTACATTCCAACTGGAAGAGCCTCAATGGGACCACTTTACATGAATTGTTGGTGAAAGGGTAAGTATGTAGAGTGGGTTGTGGAGTGAGAGTCTATTATCAGGGCCCTTCTTCACTTTCTAATTTAAGATAATCCAAATTTTTCACATCAATAAAGAGCTTCCATAGAATGGCTACTGGCCTCTATATTTCAACATCATTTGGCTTTATTTCTTCCTTCTAGAATAGTTTTTCTTCTCTTGGCTATATGTTTTTCTTTAATGATGATTACAGAAACTATCATGGTGAAGGAGGAGGAACTTGCTTTCTAATCTCCAAGTTTTTTTCACATCTTATTTGAAATAAATTCTCACGTCTGCTCTTTCTACAGTAACTCTTTCTGTAACTAGTTAACAGAGGGAAATGAACTAATGACAATTGATAAAACCCAAAGAGAGAAAAAATGGACACAAAATGAAATTATAATTATGTAGCCTTGAAAGTATACATCTAAAAAATTTCCCCTGAAATATCATAACATCTTAACCAGGGCCACCTCCCTTGTCTATGGGAGGGGTGTAGGAGAAAGAGAAACTGAAGGAATTAACAGTTATTTAGTATTTATTACCTTATAGAGACATAGCTGTAGAATATTTAAATAACTTGCTCAAAACTCGCAGCTCACAGATGGTAAGTGATAGCCTTTCAACTCAAACCAGGTTTATCTCCAAAGCTTTTAATACGTGCTAGAAAAGCCATTTTTTAAGAAGTCCAAAGAAGAAAACTAAAGGTGGGTCATTTTTCTTTAGAATGTCTTGACATTTTCCCCATAGACCAAACTATGCAACTAAATTTCTGAATATTTGTCAACTGAAGTACTTCCCCCAAATCAATGACCTGAATCTTTCAAAAGAATGATTTGTTTCCCCAAACTGGGAATGCCAGAAAAGCCCTTTCAGGTCAAATACACACATAAATAAATAAAGTAACTTATTCTAAATTGGGAGTTCGTAGAACTGGTTATAGTTCTGGCTTACTAAAAGATATGTGATCTTATATAACCATAGTTTCCTATAAAATAAAAAGTTGAGATGGATAATCTTTTCTTAGTCCTATAAGCTGTGATTTTGGACCTAACACGTAACAACTAATTAATGAGTTTCTCTTCCATGCCAGGTTCAGTGCTAAGCTCTGAGGGGAAATAGAAGTGAATGAGGGTAACAAGGGCCCTGGTCTCAAGGAATATACATTGTATAGATGGACAGAGAGATGATAAGCTAGTAAATAAAATGAATTTCAGATATTTGGAAATGGTACAAAGATGGGAGAGAGAAAGGAGAAAATAAAACTTTAGGTCGTAGCAGGGAAAAATGAATGTGCTTTTTTTTTTTGGTATTATATAATTTCTTGTATACAAATAATTACACAAATCCCCATGCAAATTTAGCAAGAAATAAAAATATAGTAAATCTTCAAAAAGGAATGTGTAAGTGACATAGAGATGAATATATATGTAGATACATGTATAATATATACATATGTATATATATATATACATTTTTTTTCCTGAGAAGTCTAGGATTCTAAGCACATCACAGTATTTTTGACAGTCCCAAGTGTTTTGTCTTTTAAATAGTTACACTGTGAATAAATGCTTCATAGTTGAAAGAGAACTTTGTGATTAAAACTTGATATACCCTAAATTGAATTCATTGATAGATACTTGAACATGATTCATGTTCTTGCCTTCAAAGGTTAACTCCCATTTTTAGAAAGTTTTTCCTTTCTTGAACTCACGCTTCCTGTAAATTCTACCTGCTGATTCTGATTCTACCTTCTAGAGTTACATGAAATAAATGTAATCTCTCCTTCCTTCTGTCTGCTAATCATAGAACCACAGTTTAATATCAAGTCTTGGCAATATTTTTTTCCAGTCTAAGTATTCAGTTCCTTTATCTGTTCTCTAACTTTTTTTAAGTAACATTTTATTTCTTTCAAACTATCTCTCAACTTTTTTTTCGAACACACACGTCCTTTCCATAAGCATTAAAATCTGACATGTTCTTCTATGAAGCAGGTTCTATGAAGCAGCCCAATTCCCTTCCTTTTCTTCTCTCTACTTTGAAAATGATGGTTTGAGTTAATATTTTGGATGGTGCCATCAGCCAAGATGATGTGGGAAACTTTACTAATAATAGTTTCTCTTCCTATAAGTTTGAAATTATATTTCGATGATATTAAATAAACTAAAAAAATACATGGCGTATACCTGAAACTAATATAATTGCACATGTTAGCTATATTCTGATTAAAGTCTTTTTAAAATAAAAAAAGATGTAAAAAAATTACCCCCACCCGAGGTGATATCTGACAATGACCCTGCCTTGAGAATTTCTTCACTTAAGTATAATCATTACTCAGAGAATGTGACCTTACATAAGAGTTGAGCCTATGTCTCGCTTTTCATTGATAGTATTTGAAGTGAACAATAACCATGTAACTTAATATTATATCATTTTATGTTTCCAAATCTAGGCAGTCCTGTCACAGCAGAAGTAAGATTTATCTTCTGTGCGCTAAACAAGGTGAGAGGATGAGTGATGTAGCAATGGGATATGAACCGAATTGGCTCAGGGGGAAAAAAATGACCGCTGCACATGACAGCAAAGAACCAGTCATCTAGAGGGATTTGGCGGTGAGTCACACAGTCTTTCCTGCTCCTTGGTAGACTGTGGACGCCGCCCTGCCGCCCGAATGAACAAGAGGATCCTTGGGGGTAGGACAAGTCGCCCTGGAAGGTGGCCCTGGCAGTGTTCCCTGCAGAGTGAGCCCAGTGGGCACATCTGTGGCTGTGTCCTCATTGCCAAGAAGTGGGTTCTGACGGTCGCCCACTGCTTCGAGGGGTGAGCTGCACCTTTTATTTTTTGCTTTGCCTGGATTTTATCATTTTGTCACTTGGACATTCTTAGGGCACATGTAGTTCTATGAAGCCACTTCAGTGCGAAAGCCACTATTCTACTTCCCGGGCCTTTATCTACTCACATTTCTTCTGTCCTCAGTATCGTCAGCCTATATATATGCTGCTCATTTATTGGCAATGGATGTAACTTGCTTATGATTTATGGCCTAAAGAGGGAGGAAGAGAAAGAAGTTCAACAGGTTGACTCTCCAGCCAGCATTAGCTTTTCTCTAGTCCCGTTATATATATTAAATATATCTTAAGTTAAACGAGATGATTTACTTGAATACTACAGTGAAGTTAGGATGCCGGAGGACCTGGTGAGGAGTTCAGGAAGCAGAGTTAAAAGTACAATATGTGTACTAGTCAGGGTTCTCTAGAGAAACAGGCCAATGCTAGAGAGAGAGAGAAACTTATTTTAAGGAATTAGCTCGCATGATTGAGGTAGCTTGGTGAATCCAAAATCTTGTGGGCTAGGCCAGGAGATGGGAAGAGTTGCAGTTCAAGTCCAAAGGCAGTTAGCTAGTTGAATTGCTTGCTCATAGGAGGTCCGTCTTTGTTTCATTAAGGTCTCCAATTTATTGGGTGAGGCCCATTCACTTTAGGGAGGGTAATCTGCTTTACTCAAAGTCCACTGATTTAAATGTTAATTTTACCCAAAACACACCTTCACAGAAGAATCCAGAATAATGTGTGATCAGATATTTTGGCACCGCAGCCCAGCCATGTTGGCACATAAAATTAACCATCACAATATGCTTAAAGGGAATGGAAAAATAAGACCAACGGGAGATCTACCCTAAATTGACAAACGTCACTACAGAATGTCTTCATTTGTTCTGACTATCTGTTGTGTAGTTTAGGAGCAAAAAAACTAAACCAAACAATAACAACAATTAATAAACAAAAACAGAATATTCTGGGAGTCAGACATCTGGACAGTTGTCACTGCTTGGGGACGTTTGGGCCTTAGCTAGAAGGTTCTAAGGCTAGGGGCTGCAACTACAGAAAGTCTGGCAGTCAGTATTGCCTGGGGCCTTATGGTTCCCCTCCATATGGGACTCACAGCATGGTGGCTGGCATCCCCGAGAGTCAGCTCCCCCGAAAGGGAGCCAGAATGAAGCTGTGTCATTTTGTGACCCAGTCTCCAAAGACACAACACTGCTTCTACTGTGTGGTTGGTCAGAGCCCTCACAAGCTCCACCCAGATCCAAAGGGAAGAAGCACAAAACTTCCCCCAGTGAGAGGAGTGTCAAAGGACTTGAGGACATTTTCATAAAACAAACAAATAAAAACACCATATCACCTATTTGATTTATTTGTAATAATTTTATTAAAAGTAATATTAAATAATAGAAAAAATTAAAACAAAACAACTCACAGTTCTAGCACCTAATTAAATTGATTATTTTCATTAGAATTGGCTCACATGATTGAATCCAAAATCTAGTGGGCTAGGCCAGGAGATGGGAAGAGTTGCAGTTCAAGTCCAAAGGCAGTTAGCTAATTGAATTGCTTGCTCATAGGAGGTCTGTCTTTGTTTTATTAAGGTCTCCAATTTATTGGGTGAGGCCCATTCACTTTAGAGACGGTAATCTGCTTTACTCAAAGTCCACCGATTTAAATGTTAATTTTACCCAAAACATACCTTCACAGAAGAATCCAGAATAATGTTTGATCAGATATTTTGGCACCACAGCCCAGCCACGTTGGCACATAAAATTAACCATCACAATATGCTTAAAGGGAATGGAAAAATAAGACCAACAGGAGATCTACCCTAAATTGACAAACATCACTACAGAATGTCTTCATTTGTTCCGACTATCTCTTGTGTAGTTTAGGAGCAAAAAAACTAAACCAAACAATAACAACAATAAATAAACAAAAACAGAATATTCTGGGAGTCAGACATCTGGACAGTTGTCACTGCTTGGGGACGTTTGGGCCTTAGCTAGAAGGTTCTAAGGCTAGGGGCTGCAACTACAGAAAGTCTGGCAGTCAGTCTTGCCTGGGGCCTTATGGTTCCCCTCCATATGGGACTCACAGCATGGTGGCTGGCATCCCCGAGAGTCAGCTCCCCCGAAAGGGAGCCAGAATGAAGCTGTGTCATTTTGTGACCCAGTCTCCAAAGACACAACACTGCTTCTACTGTGTGGTTGGTCAGAACCCTCACAAGCTCCACCCAGATCCAAAGGGAAGAAGCACAAAACTTCCCCCAGTGAGAGGAGTGTCAAAGGACTTGAGGACATTTTCATAAAACAAACAAATAAAAACACCATATCACCTATTTGATTTATTTGTAATAATTTTATTAAAAGTAATATTAAATAATAGAAAAAATTAAAACAAAACAACTCACAGTTCTAGCACCTAATTAAATTGATTATTTTCATTAGATGAGGTTAATTTCTAAGAAAAAATTCAATTTCTTTTTCTTTTTTTTTTCCTATTTGTCTATTATTATTTTTTCTCAGCTTTGCCATGTACTGTGTGACCATGGGTCAGTTTGTTAACTTCTCTGGGTCACACTTTTCTCATCTGTGAAATGAAAGAAAAAACAGTTCCTGCCTCACAGGGTTGGTTCTGGCATTTAGTGAGATAGTCTGTGTAAAGCCTCGAGAACCATGCATGGTATCAGTAAGACCTTGATAAAAGTCAACATGTCTTTTTAAAAATTATTACTAAAATCATGCATTCCACCTTTTCCCTTAGCATTATGGGGTGATTATTTTCGCATTTTGTTAGCGAAATGTATCTATCTCCTCTCACATTCTACTTTCTCATCATCCTCACGCACATACCCTGTTACAGCCTAGTGAATGTTCCTCCACAGCTATAAATAAATAAATAAATATTTCTCAAGGTGTCATTGTTTACTTCAAATTTAGAATCACACTATAATTTTGTTCATAATTTGCTTTTCTCATGTAGCAGTATATCATAGATATCCCTCTAGGTCAGTTGATGTAGTTGTAGCTCATTCTTTTTCCAATCTAAATGGTATTCCACAATGTAGATTTACCAAAACTTTTTGTATTATTCTCCAGTTGATGGACATTCAGGTTAGTTCTAATCTGCTACCATTTTAACAGTCAGCAATATGTCTTCTTATACAAAGATACTCACCCTCTTGTTTCTGCAGGATAGAGTCCTAGCACATGTATTTAGTTCCACATGAGGTTACAAAGGTGAATACATGTTTCCTTCCTTGGAGTGCTAACCTAGTGAGGACATTTTGACAAATAATAGAATATAATGTGATAAGTGACTATAAAATATAAATGTGTATGTCCAGTTGTTTGATTGCTTTTGCGGGGGAGAAGGGGAAATAAAAAAAATCAAATCAGTATCTCCTCTTGAGAACATTTAGTGGGTAAGACTCAAAATGATTTGAAGAGTCTGTGTAGTATGTCAGGAAACACACTGCAATGTTATTGCTTCAGAAGGGGCCAGATGTTTCCAGATGTCTTTTCCAGTTCTTATTTAAAACTTCATGATAAGCAGAAGATTACACTAGCAAGAGCACATTCATCAAAAAATGATTACCTAAATGAATCCAACAGTTCTTTAAGGGAACAACATTCTTTACGTGCTAGTTAATCCAGGTTCATACGCCACTTTTGTCATTTCCTTATGTGGTATCCAAGTTTCCTCTTTCAGTGACAGATCCGTGAAGTTAAGAAGAAACCTTGCAATAGAGGAGAAATATGTGTTTATAATTAAGGAAATGGATATGATATCAAAGGGCTTAGTGAAATTTCATGGAACACTAAACTTAACAGAACTATCAAGAGGGACCTGGCCTATCCATAAGCAACTAGAAATTGCCCAGCTTCAAATAAGCCTTCATCTGAATGTGTGCTAATAGCTCTGATTCTGTTTTACAGTCTCTCCAGTGGCCCTTCAAGCTTCTGAGAACTTCTAAATTATAAGCCTTACTTTCTGCTGGAATTTCTACAATTAATGGGATTTACTTATATCCTGATCCCATACTTTGGCAAAACCCAGTGTAGTTCCTCTTGAGCCTGTCTCTTTTAATTATATTGGTGGAAAAAGACAAATTTGTTTTACTCTTCCATAGAGAGGTATTTAAAAATCCCAAATGAAAATGAAAAACAAGATACTAAGCTGATCAAGTCCTACATGCCTTAATAACAATTCAACTTCAATAGTTCTAAGGAAGAAAGACTAACGTTAAGGGGCAATATAACAAGCAATTTTCCTGCCTTCTCCCACCTTTGAAAGACTGAAGGATGAACTTCCTAGGCTGGCACACAAGTAGTAATTTCTCTCCAGGGAACCTGTATGAAAAACTATCATCCTACTTTATGACCGTAATCCCTAACCCTGCCAAGGCACCCTTATCTTGATTTCTACCATAGACTTCACTCTATCAAGACTTTGGTTGCCTGTCTACACTTCTCCCCCTATTATCTCAGTCCATCAGTCTCCTTTCTTCCTCCAGCTAACTTAGTGCTTTGGCCTTGTCACTTCGGTCCTCTCACCGGGACCTTCAACTTTTTTGTCCCTAGACCTTTCTTTCATACATATCAGACAGACCTCCAACAAAGAGTCGATGTGAATACCACATTTTCTAACTGCATATTCATGCTCTTCAGAACCAAAGGAGAATATTACCCAAAATGCTGATTGGTGCCATCGCTTGGACCTTTAATATTACTCAAAAATCTTTTCACTTATTTCTGGACAGCTTTCTCTCTCATTCTTCACAGAACAAAATCATCATGCTCACCCATCTGTCTTGCTCTAACAGTCTTTTAACACATTCAGAAAAGGACGTGAGAGGGTTGGTCTGACTTTTCATTACTGAGCCCACGTTGCGTCTTCATGATTACATCTTTATCTTCCAGGTGCTTACGAGCGACGGCAGTCATTCACAATTTGTTTTATAATTCCATTGATTTGAGGGATTTGGTCCAT